CTTTTGCTAACATTGTTGGTCCGAAAATCACACTTTCAATTTTTCTGCTGCCAAATTATTCAAAAAACATTTCCATTGGAGAACTGGATTTTCTAGAGGCATTTCACATTCATAAAAATCTTTCTGTTCTAGTTAACGATCCTAATTCCAATCCAAATTTGCCTTCGGCTTTTAGAGAAATTAGTTTTTAGTTTGGTTTCGCCAACAGATGGCTGACCACACTTCTTATTCTTGTCCAGGCTTTCTTATCTTATCTAACATTATTTCCTATCTTGTTCATTTGCAGTTTGCAGCTGAAGATGATGGTTCGGTAAAACCATCGAAACTAGTCCTGTGAAAATTTTGTGAATTAACGCTGATTTTTGTTATTTGACTTCTGAATCAGTATTTATTCGGCGTGTTATTGTGTCTTAAATATAGGAAACTTATTTCATAAAAATTTTGTGCTTCTTTGGTAAACGTTTCCATTATACCCAGATTTGATTCCTTTAAGTTTGATAATTTCCTTTTTATTGTTAAAGGAATAAATTTTTCTTCAAATCTTGATTTATATTGATGGACAAAATCGTTCAAAATAAGGCAAACTTCTATAGCTGAAATATGTTCAATGTTTTGAATCATTTTGTGGAAAACAGATGCCTGATTATGGACAAAATACATTAATACCTTCGATAATTCATTATTGAAAAAAAGATTGTAAAATTTTTGGACATTTGCCTAAACTTAAAAAATATGAACGGAGAGGCTCAAATAATCGTAAAACACGCTCTATAGCAGATGTTAAAGAAAGCCATCTAACTTTTGAATATCCTAAATGTTTCATGTATTCAACATTTGCGTCTTCACAAATTTTTTTTAAAGCAGTCAAACGAACCGTAAAATGATTAAAATACAAATTAATTGACATTATTATTAATTCTACATCAATTGGCATGGCAGATGAGGCTTTGCTTATTGCATTTGACAAAATATGTGCATTACTACCAATGCCTATTACTTTCTGTTGAAGTAAATCTTGTAATTTTACATAGACATTATTTACTCCTTTGCATCTTCACTCACCAAAATTTCTGTTTGTATTATCTGCTGTTAGTGCAACAACTTTTTATATTTCAAATTGTTTATATTTATTACTCTGTATAGTAGTTCGCCAAAATTTCAGCAGTTTCCTCAATGGACTCTTTGTTATAATATCTTACTAGTATTGGATACAATTTTGTTTCATTATGATTTGATGCATCAGATAAAACTGTTACAGATGCTGCATTTTTCAAATCTTCTGCAAGTATATTATCACAGTAATTTTTGAATACTGATTTAATAATAGCCTCACATTTTGTTCTGGCACATGAAAATTTAGGATTGTGAAACATTTTCAATAATTTTGTTGTACAATTCATACTAAAACTTTGATTATGAATTACTGTATGAAATGAAAATGCTCCTTCCATTACAGCTAACTCTTTTTCCTCTTCAGAGTAGTTAGAAATTAAAAAAAATATTGTTACTTTACTACTGGAAGCTGATGCATCTGTGATTGCTTATGTTGGTGTTTAAGTGCTTAGTTATGGCTGCTTTGCCTCCAACTGCAATACAAAATTCTCCTCTGCAAATATTGCAGAAAACAATGGTGTCTTTCTTTGACACAAGAAAGGGAAATTCCTTCTTCACCTGATTGTTGAAATGGCACTCCCTCTTCTTTGATTTTTCCATCCTTTAAATAAAATTAAAAATAGAACATGGAGCGACATGAACAATGTAAGCACATTATAAATAAATAAAAAAATAAATCTTTAATAACAAAAACTATAAAACTTTTCTAAATCTATATTTAAATTATTTTATACTTGTGTTGAAAACACAATTATAAAGAAAGCCATCTGACTTTAAATGTGAAGTCATGTAACTTTAAATGTTTAAAATTAAATTAATGAACAAATAAAACGTGCATTCTACTTAGTAAGGCACTTGAGCATTATAATTATACAGTGAAAGAAAGAATTTCGTATTTGCATCAGATGTATTTGCAAACTTTAATATTGTAGACACATTAAAATAAACAAAGTAAAGTGCGCAAAAGTGTGAGGGTGCGAGACAAGTGTGGCTGAGTGAAAGTTTTGATATGCCCAGAATGTGCTGTGTATGCGTTTTATAATCATGTTTTTTCGATCTGCACCATTACATGATGATTGACACGTAACATTTCGATGCAGCATCTTCAGATAATACAGAGATAAACAGATTAGTTGTAAAATATTGAAAAGGAGGACAGTTGGGAGGACACTTCTTCAAAAAGGACAGAGCCTACCAAAGTAGGACGATTGGTCATCTTACTAAATGACACTTAAAATTTGTTTGTTTTTAATAGGCATATATGTTTTTTATGCTTTACGCACTTCAACCATATGCTGTTTGTGTCTCAGGATGGATTGCATTTGTCCATTTTTAACTTTCCAAACTTTGGATCCTAACCATTATGTAGCATACTGAAGAGAAGGGCACCAACTTTTAAATAAGGCAAAACCAGCCTTCGTATGATTTTAGTTTTTTGAAAAGGTCTATAACTTTTCAGGCATCCTTCCATATATGAACAGAGGGGTTTGGGGTAAAATCAGTGTTAGTCTAAGGCAAAATTTTTGCCTAATTTTAAAACTATATCTGAAGTAATTTTAAAAACATTCTAACATCAATTACCTAAATAGGAATACATTTAAGTGTGAAAATGTATAAATGAAATTGTTGCTATTATTATTGTCATAATGGCAGAGGCATTACACCATATGTGATTGGAAATTTAATAATGTAATTGTCTAGAAACATGACTTTTATGTACAATATATTTATATGTTAATAGAGTATGATTTAAGGATATACCCATGGATTATCTGTTTAAACTCAGGTATTCTTAACACCCTACAAAATTGAATCAGCACTCCTGGCTAAAATCGACATTCAAGCTCAGGTATGAATGTCATACCCAAAAGTTCTGCAGACTTTCGTCTGCCACTCATTCTGTCTGTTTCACCTGCTAAATTCTCGCTAAGATGGCAGGCAGCTGACTGGCTGACTGCAGAGAAATTCATGACACTAACATATTTTGATGTTGTTAATACATGTATTAAAATGCTTGTTTATTTGTTCAAAACTGCCAGTTAGAAATCAAAATCACTCGAATGTCAGTCATATTGGAAATCTTTGAAATAGTATATGTCACTTTCTTTTTGAATAGACTTCTAAATCCAGATAGGCCCACCAGCGGCCGAGCGGTAAAGTCGCTGAACACTGGTAGTTCTGTCGGAGGTTCAAATCCCCGGAACGGGCTGGCTGCATGGGCATTTTCGTGGTTTTCCCCATGTGTAACGTGTATACGAGCCAGTTTTCCTTAGAAAGTCCTCCACGAAGGCATCCCTCCTCTTAAGCAGATAGCCCTAGTGTGCTTTGCCATAATTAAATAAACCAAACCAAATCCAGATGAATAGGCTGGCAGCATTTTTGTGGTTTTCCCCATGTGCTGTATGAATGCACGGGTTTCCTATGCACTTCTTAATGAAAGTTCTCCTTGAAAGAATCTCTTCTGCTAGGCAGCTAGCCCTTGTATGCTTTGTCATATTCAGATAACTTAACTTAACCTAACCTTCTTTTTGAATAGCAATAATGTTTGCATTTCTGAATACCAATAATGTTGCAATGTTCAGGCAGGTGGAAAGCTAGAGAGATATATGGATCGTGCCTTGCCACATTAATATTAGGGGTGTTCAAATGAAAAGATATAAAATGACACTATGGGTATGATGAAGTCTTCACCCACAAGTAATCACCAGAGACCTGAACACAACTATTCCTCTCTTTCACGAGCTGAAATATTCCCTCTTCCCAGAAATCCTGTAGCTGTCACAGAAGCCAGTCCTCCACTGTGTCCTTAAGCTCATCATTCGATTTGAAGTGCTTTCCTTTGAGATGCCAATTCTCACCAAGTCATTCACCTTGTTCACGAGTTCGGACATGATTACCATGTTTGCTTGGCCTGGTCATCACTCAAACACTCCAAGCCATCATGAAAACTGCCACTCCACTTTCTCACTGACTTGTTGGACACATAGTCAGGCCAAATACGGCTACCATCCGGCAATGAATATTATCTGGTTTAACCCCTTCCACAGTCAGAAATCTGATAACATCTTGCTGCTGCTCAATCATCAAATTTTGCAATGTGAATGCCAAAATGTCATCACATGCACTGCCGCATCAATTGGACGGAACACACAACTACCTGCTTCGCTCTGGTGTCATGTGCGGGCACATGCGGTGAACCACATTGGACACTACATTCACTTCCTTAGATGTCTCACTATGTTATGCCAAAGCAGCATATTCAAATTTCAACCAGTTAGGTTGTTACGACGTTTTGTACCTTTTCATTTGAATACCACTTATACTTTTTGTTGATAATATGGGTTACCACAACAGCCTCAGCTTTTTAATGGGACTACAAATAACCAAAGTATTATTTTCTTTAATAATCAGGAATAGTTAAATAAATGTCTACATACTTGAAAAATTATCTAATATTCCTTTTACAAATTTTCCAGATGTATGAGAAAAAATAAAACTGACAAGAATCATTGTTAATTTTTCAATTTCATATGATTTTTTTCTAATCTTGTGAGCAAATATTGCATAATACAAAAATATTAATCTATTATTTGATGAGGATATCGTGAAATAATGGATTATTTCATGATATCCTCATCAAATAATAGATTAATATTTTTGTATTATGCAATATTAAAGTAGAATTAGTTACGATTGCTTCCTAATTTTATTTTCTAATATAAAATTGGTGTGATACAAATTTAGTATTAAAATATTTAGGTCTAGAACAAATCTTTCAGATTTGAATATTAATTATTGAAATCCAGTGTAGTATGTGTGTTATGTTTATATTTATTTCAATGACTTCCCATCTAATATTTACATATACTGGAAATATTCTTTTCCAGGTATTTGGGATTGGTTCTGCTCGTGATTGTCGATCTCTGGTTCAGCAATTTAACTTATCTAAAGGCGAGAAGAAATCTTGTCAACAAGTACAAAATGAAAGTTATTTTACTGAGGACTTCAAAGAAGAAGTAATTTTTTTTTAGTTCATTAGTACTGTCTTATAATATGTGTAATTTATTTGTTATGAAGTATGTATGTAGTTCAAATACAGTGAAAATCGTTTAACCCGAAACTGAGGGGACTGAAATACTTTTTTGTGTTAAAAAGAAAATTGGGGGGGGGACATATATTCAACAAAATTAAGTTTATTAGAGTACATTTTATTTTACATAGATATGTATGTATGCATATATTTAATAAAAATCAATGAAACAAAAACATGCACAAGAACTTAATGAAATTTAATACAAAATTTTCAAGTTTTTTTAAAAACAAAACATTTATTGAGTTTTAGAAAAATAATCTGGTATTTTTCTTTGTATTGTCTTTTTAGCATCAAGTTGTTAATAAATTGTTCAATGCCATCCATTTGTTATTCATTTCACCATTGTGTGTCTAAATAACTGTGCGTACTTTTCATGATGTTCCTCTTTTCGGATGACCTGGGAACAGGAGCTGTATTATTCATTTCATTTCATTTTCGTTGTCGGAATCTACATCAATGATATTTTTTTAGCTTTGAACAAACTCCAAAATGTCTTTGTCTGCCATAATTGGGGCTGTGCATACATTATCGTTAACTACTGCAACAGATTCTTCCAATAATGCAATAGGACAGTCCAGTAATACAGAAACATTTTAAGCATTTCATTAAATGTCGGCTCAGTTTCAATATCCTCCTTCTCCCTTTCTTTTGGCACCAAAGAATCTGATAATTTTGAGAATCGTGCATGACAAAAACGATTTTCATTTGTCCTTGGAGTCACTGAATTCCATACAGAGTTCAACATATGAAGAGACAGAGATATGCAGAGTGCAACATATGAACCAAACTCTTAGATTTTTACTCGCACTGCGATATACTCATCACCAAATTCCAAAGCCAATTGATGAGAGATGAGATTTTTGTGTGGCGTTTGTAGGAGTGGGAGGTGAAAGTAACTTAGGTAAACAAAACTGGCTCATGTCACAAGGCTATTCCGAGGGTATTTCAAAGGCAAGTTAGCCTCCAATCTACAAAACATGTGAAACTACCTCTCTTTCATTTCACACTCTTCTTAAATCTCACCTGCGAGGCCAGTGTTTTCCGTATTTTGTTTATTCCCAGAAAGGATATCTTTTCATGTTAAGAGAAACAAAATGTATGAAAATATATAGTAGTTTGTTGGGATCGTTGTATTATTTCATATTAATCGATATTTCGTTTTAAGCATTTTTGCGTTAAATGTATTTCACTGTAGCTAAAATTTTGTATTTTGGATAAATGCATCTTACTTTTTTTTTTTTTTATTATTATTAAAGTAAAGCTTTGCTTCTTACTTTTCATTTAGGATTTGATGCATGCTCTAGATGAAAGTGATTACTGTACAGATGATTATGACTTTTCTTCTGAATTATTTTCTCAAGCTGAGCCTATTATGAACCCTTATGTAAAGTCAAGAACTTCTATTTCACCACTTCATCTTAGGTATTTTGAAATAATCATTATAAATATTAGGATAAAAGTGTATTTTTGCATAGTCTTTATTGTTTTATAGTTGATGTGTTTCAGTAATAAATGTTGTATAAAAGAAATCTGATCTTTAATTCTTGAGGGGTAGGCTGTATAATTTTTTAGATTAATGTATTTGTTTTGATTATATGAATTTATAACTCACTGAAATTTATTCAGAAAATTGGTAATAATATCCTTAACTAAAAGGGTGCAATTATATCATAAACTAAGACTACTTTTTAAAGGGGTCTGTGTAATACAGACACCATCTGGATATTTGATTTATCAAGTATGGTACAAAGTCTGAAATCTGGACTCATTGGCGAACCTGGATTTAGGATTTTTCTGTATATTAGGTCACCAGTTTAAATCTAGTAAGATGGCATGTAGAAATTATAAAATTAAAAATATGATATCATGATTTATGAATTAATGAAGCATTTATGATCTAAAGTGTATCAAAATTTACAAAAATAAAAGCTTAATATTTATTTGTTTACTTAATTAAAGATTTCTTTCAATATAATTTCTTTGTTTTGTTTTTGTACTAATACTTTTCTTTTAATTCTATAGACAGACCTAATTTCTTGTTCACTTACAAAGTTCCATTGTTCAAGTCATGTAATTGCTGTGTCGAGAATTTTGACTAACTTGTCAATCAAAATTTATTCATTTTCAATAACCTGTCACTTTCTTCACTATCGGTAGTGGTATTTTTTGGATCTAGAACCATACTACAGATTTCGCCATCTATTAATTGATTGATGATTGGGACATTGTCATCACAATGAAAAACTTCTGTTATACCATCTTCATTTATTACCCCTTCTCCACATCGGAAAATTTCACTTTTGGTTTGCGATATCGGAAAACCTTCGAATTCTCAGCTATCATCTTCATCATCCCCACCATGAAATATGGTAGCTGGCCATAAGTTAAGTATTTTTTAAAGTATCTGGAGATACATCTTCCAACGATTTGGTGCTGCCCCACAGCATATTTTATCCAAAAATATTTTAAAACTTATGAATCATCTTGCTATTATTCAAGAGGTTTAACATGGACTTTAAAAATGCTACTTTATATGTACATTTCAGCGTGCACTAATCCGATATCCATAGACTGAATGATTGATGTACAATTTGGAGGAAAGTATAATATGGATACATTATCTTTCACTAAAACTTTAAGTGAAGTATGAGCTGTACAATCAAGATACTTTTTCCATCATCAGGTAAACCAAGTGAATTCAAATGCTGCCAAGCCTCGGCTATTAAATGATTTTCAAACCAACCAACCATTCATTACCGCTTATGTCACCAATGCTCTTTTATTTGCATGATATATAATAGAGAACATCTTTACTCTTTTAAATGCTCGAGGTCATGTATTTTTTCAATTACGAAAAGTTTACACTTGTACGTTCCTGCAGCATCTGTGCATGCTAAAATTGTTAGTCTCACTCTGGAATCTTTGACACTAGTTCGAGCCTTTTCTGTAAATGTTGCCATGGTATTTAGCTATACATATTACCGAAAAGACCAGTTTCATCAGCATTGTAAATTTGAAAGAACGAAAAGAACTCATTTCTGGGTTAAAAACTCTGTGAATATTACATTTCCTCCCCTTCTTCACATATTTGTCCAACATAAAATGGCTTTCTCTTTCTTCTGTAAATTTATGTCTTGCGTGACATCTGTGAATTTGTAAGTGTATTTTTTATTTTGTGTTGTGTTGTTGTATTTGTTTGTTTTTTACTTACTCTAAGCCTTATGTAATAGTATGTGATGCACAAGAAATTAAAAATTTTCAATAAAAAAAAACTTTTTTTTTGTGTCCCCTCCATTTACAAAAAATGGCCAGGAATGGCAAAATTTAGCTAAATAATTTACTGTAACTTGAAATCTGTTTGTAAAGTAGTTCTTAAATTGAAGAGCTAATTTTTCTGCTTCCAGTGGTATAAGTTATGAATAGGTAAACTTAAATTAAATAAAAAAAAAATTAAGAATATTACATGGAAAAAGATACCTAATTCCACTTTCTACTCAATGTTTTGATGGAATAACGAGTGAAAGAACATGCCATAATCGCAATATTTTGGACTGTCATATTGGCTTGAATCGATGGTGTCAGTATATCTTTACAAAAACCAACTGTTGAACTTTGAATAGCAGTCAATCTTTTAAAACCGCTTTTAGATCTTTTACTATCACAGCAAGAATTATTTGATGATTACGAGTTTGAAGGCAAATGAGAAAACCGATACCAAATACAGTGATGAAAATCAGCGTGTGCGAAGAAGAAAAAGGCATCATGATGACGGATCTGCAGAAGTTGTGAACAGAGGAAGAGATAAGTTAAAGATAGAAACTTATTTGCCTGTAGACATGCTGTATGCAGAATTATTGTGGTGACTAGAAGCTTATCAGGAAATAATTCTATGTTTGAATTTCTAATAGATTTCATGACAAAGACCAATGATGAAATTAAAGAGGCTTGTACAAAATTTAGTGAGCATTATTCCAATGATATTAAGCCTGAGTTTCTAAACGAGAATTGTGCAGTTTAAGTACTTCATCCTCTAATTCTTACAATTAGAATTGGAGGATGTGAGGTTTGTGGGGAAAGGTAAAATTGTACCTGCTGAGGAATCAATTAAATTGATTTTTGATAATATGGTATAATCAATTATCCTAAATGTAATGATAGTATTGCTAATATAGAGAAGTATGATGTTATCAAATGCAATGGGGGAACATAACTTTTCAAAATGAAAACTAATAAAAATCTGTCTTCATTCATCAGCATCACAGAACCATTTAAATTTATTGTCAATAATGGCAGTTGAAAATGATGTAATGGAAAAGGTCAACTTTCGAGATGTTATGAACGATTTTGTATCCGTAAAAGTTAGAAAAGTTAATATTTAAACTTAATGTACTTGACAAAACTGTTTTCTTTTGTTTATTGTATTTTATTGATGGTATCAAATGCAATGGGGGAATGTAACTTTTCGAAATGAAAACTAATAAAAATCTGTCTTTATTTGTCAATATCTCAGAACCATTTAAATTTATTGTCGATAATGGGAATTGAAAATGATGTATTGGAAAAGGTCAACTTTTGAGGTGTTATGAATGATTTTGTATCCATAAAAGTTAGAAAAGTTAATATTTAAACTTAATGTACTTAAAACTGTTTTCTTTTGTTTATTGTATTATATTGCATTTAGCAAGAATAAAGTTAAAATTAACTGCTTTGATATAATAAAAAATAGCTTGCATTGTTAACTCTCATACAACTTGAATTCTATTATAATTAATTCTTGAAATTTTTGTTGAAAATGCTACATGTGTATTATTTGACTGTGAAACTTGTATAGTAATTTATTAATCTGAAAAACCTGTGCTTAGCTGAAAAAATATTTTTGTACCTATTTTCAGATATGAAGCAAGTGCATCAAATGATGATGAATGTGATAGGGATAGTTTCAAAGAGAAAGAAATACTAAATGTGGAAGTGACAACAGGAAATAAGAGAAAATACAAAAGTTCTGAGTGTTTGCATGATCATGGAAAATGTGAAGGAGTAAAAGATAAGTTTTACCAAAATTCTATTCAAGAGCTAGAAAAGAATGCAGTTCTTGTAAGTTGCATTGTAACTGACAAAAGCATAGTGGATGACAGGCAGAAATCTTTGCGTAAAAAGAACAGAGGATTTCAGCTCATTGTTGAAGCTGCTGCAAAATTAAACTGAACACATTCTGCTCAATGTCATATTATTGATAACCTATATACAGGTATTTTAGAGCTAATGTAATACCACTAATGCAACATTCTTCTCCTGTGGATCTAGATGAAATTTAGTATTTTGTTAACTTTACCAATACATTTGTAATGCTTATCTGCTGTCAGTATGTCACTTATTTTAAAGAAATGGTAATCATTTTCTTGAATATTTTATAATTATATATTTACTTTGATAAATTCACTTAAATAAATTAAATTCTTAGATTGTACACAAATTTCATGTTATACAAGTTGCATAAAAATACATAATGGTAAATATATTTTTATAAATAATAAAAACATTGAACAGTTTTTTATAGGATACTAGGAATACAGAACAAAGTTCGAAACTCAGATTCGTCGGGACTTCGGCGATTCCAGATTTGGGATTTTAATCTAGTAAGATGGCATGCATAAATTATTAAATTAAAAATAGGAAACTGTAATTTATGAAATAAAGAAAAATTATAATCTAAAGAGTATCAAAATGTACAAAAAAAAAAAAAAAAAAAAAAGCTTTATATTTACTTTTTTACTTTATTAAACATTTCTTTCAATGTAAGTTGTTTCCACAAAAATTTCAAAATGTTCCTTTTTCTTTTTTATGTGATATACAGTCAACTTTTTAATGCCATACTCCTCGCATAATTTTGAGACTGCTATGCCTTTATCCATTTTCTGCAGCAATTCTACTTTTTGTTTAATGGAATCAAAACATGGTTTCGCCTTGTAGATCCTTAGGCAGCCCCAGAATTGGAAACTCTTTTCGACATAATCAAAAGTTGAAGCTTATTTTTTTATAAAATTGCCGTAATAATAACAGTCTGCAAAATATAATAAGCTGGATCAAATTAAAAGATTAGGAAGCAGTGCAGTCTGTTATATTAACTGAAATGCCTTAGAATCAGTAACCTAGCTTAATAGCGTCCGTTATATATTATTGGCTGTGCATCACAAGATTGGCGACGAAGGCCATGTTGTTTCGCTAAATTTTATCTTGCTCCTACTGCATACTGAATTAAGCCTGAATTGCATTAGTTTAGTTATTTACTATACCTACATTTATTTCTTGCACATGCTTAAAACTAACCTGAGTATTGAATAAATATAAACTCCCTCATATACTTAAGGCTTTATCTAGGGCTGACATTAGATATCACCTGGTGCAGTCTCTACGGGTCCTAAATTCTGTTACAAAGCACCTTCCTAAGTTCTAAATTTTCAACGTACCTAAACTTTGGATCCCAGGTGTTTTCCCTAATTCACAAAAAACTTATCATCCCTTAATTTTGCTGCTCGGCGCTTCTCTGAATTCCAAAAATTTCGTCTACCCTAAATCCTGCCATTTGCTGCTGATATATTCTGCCACCGCTTCTGGGTTTATGGTGAATAGCACATCAGTTATGCTTAATTAAAATAGCACTAAATATAATATTTTGCCGTATAAGTGTCATTAACAAAATCTATTTTTAGCACATGAAAAGAAATTTTTGTTGAATTTTTCTTCGTTAACATTTCTTAGAGCATTTAAAAATCTATAATCATCGCCAAGCATAATGTTAGCATAAAAGGTTGTCATACTCTTGTTATTCAATTGCTAATATAAAAAAAGTTCAGACATCACTGCAGGAGTTATTACTGAAGCTGTCATATATTGATAAACATGCGGTGATGAAAGCAAAATATAATAAATAATGACTCGCCAGGTTGGCGTCAGGGATATAAAATAGGTGAATGTTTGGTTTGAGATGTATGCCAAGCAGATACTGAACTACAGAGCCAAATTATTAATCTCACAAATTTATGCTTACATGATTGTTTTTCCACAATGGGATATTTTATTTAATGCCTAAGTGAAATTAAGAATCGGAATTTTAAAGTGAAAAATCTCCACACGTGTTTACTATGGAAGGAAAAGTCAAATGTGCATGCGTAAAGCATACAAAAAAAAAAAAAAAAAAAAAAAAAAAAAAAATGTTTGTGGCTTTGAGGTCTGGATTTTAGATCATTCCGTATAGTGGATGTTCGGATTTCGAAATGTATTAAAAATAAAGCTAATATGAATACTTTGTACTTTTAAATGGGATATGGATTCAATTTACAAAATGCATAGGGTATTTCTTTATTATGGTTCGTTCAGACTAGTATTAAAATCTAAATCCCTTTTGCTAAGAGTGTACACACATATGGTAGATTTTTCTGATACTAATAAATATAATTTGTCAAATTGATAAATTTTGTTTATACAGTGCAAAGTCTTTAATCCGAACTCGTTGGGATTTTGGCAATTCCGGATTAGGGGTTTTTCCAGATTATAGATCATCAATTTAAATCTGGTAAAATGGCATGCAGAATAATAAAATTAAAAATATGAAACTGTAATTTATTAAATAAAGAGAAATTATGATCTAAAGGGTATCAAAATTTACAAAAAAAAGCTTAATATTTATTTGTTTACTTTATTAAACATTTCTTTCAATGCAAGTTGTTTAAGTTGCTTCGTTTTTTGTGCTAATACTTTCTCTTTAATTCTATAAGCAGACATAATTTCTTGTTCAGTTCCACTGTTCAAGTCCTGTAATTGCTGTGTCAAGAATACCTACTAACTTGTCAATCGAAATTTGTTCGTTTTCAATAACCTCTCTGTTACTTTCGTCACTATCGGAAGCGGTACATGAAAACATGCTTTCACTTTGTAGATCCAGCAGCTCCAGAATCGGAAACTCTTTTTGACATAATCGAAAGTTCAAGCTTACTTTTTATAAAATTGTTCTAACAGTCTGCAAAAAATAATAGCCGGATCCAATTAGAAGATTAAGGAACAACTCAATCTGCAACATTAACTGAAATAGATAATTAGATAATTTTAGCCTAGCTTATACCATCCGTTATACATTAAATGCGCTTTCATAAACATATTATGTGCATGCGCAGTAAGTTTGTAGTTTTGAGGTCCGAATTATAGATCATTCCAGATTATGGACGTCTGGATTAAAGACTTTGTACTGTAGTAGAGTGCTCCATTGTTATGATGCTGCTCAGTATACCATAATGTAGATATTATTCAGATGTTGCCTTAAAAATAGTGATTGCACCTACCAATGAAACTTGCTTAAAAGAAAATCCACAGCATTGTCTGCAGTCGGGGGGGGGGAACTGACAAATGAAAATTGTTTAAATGTTTTTAATAAACAATTTATGAAACATAATTTCAGATTTAGGGTAATATCTGAAAAATTCTGAAAGTTTTCGTACTTTAATGGTCACCAAAAAGAGCCCTTTTTTAAAAGTTTAATGTGGTTTATCAGCAGAGATATCATTAAAGATGTCCCAGGTATAACAGAAAAACATTTTATAAGATACTAGATGAATATACACTAATGTGGGAATACCAGACTAATATGGGGATGTTATATATCTTCTATATATTTGAAAAGTGAAAAAATATATGATATAAATCTGTAAAAATATTTAATACTTTTAATTATGTATGTCTTAAATTAAATACTTTTTTATTTAAATCAGATTAAAAAGTAAAAAAAAAAAAAAAAAAAAAACAAAAAAAAAAAAACCAAATTCAAAAACTCCATCTGTTTCTTTTAAATAGCTTATAAGATATGTATCTTGTATTTTGCCAAATGGCAACAGATTCAATTGAAAAGTGAAAAAACATGAAATCATGTTTCAAGACTAATAACTCTTTTGGGCTGAAAAGGTATCCATAATTAACTTTAAATCATGGTTAAACTGGGAATATCTGTATCATAATCAATACTGCTCTATTATTTTTATTATGAGATGGATAATTAATGCCTGTATATTTGATTTATTTAGTATCAAGCAATGATATTTTTAATGAATGTTTAAACATTCTGGTTTATGTGCAATTAAATTATATAATGATTTGTATTAAGAGACCAGAAACATCTCCAATATACTATATGATATTCTGTCACTGCTGGTAGCTGAAGCATTTTTCTTTTCCTTTTCGTGTTTTTCATAAATTGTTTTAAGTTGATAAATTCACAGTAAACAAAACTTAACGTTTCTTTTTAGACTGGACCTGGTTAATCCACTCCCAATAAATAAGGATATTTTTCTGTTATTTAAGGATATTTATACTAATAAACTAATTATAAATAAACTTAACTTAAATTGCCAAGTATCTTAAATCACCATTAACTTGCTATTAAGGAGATATTATTTTCTGACAACTTATTAAAATTTAGTATATAGTCCAATACGTAGCATGTCAGTACCATGTTGTTTTTCACATGCTCTGGAGTTGGCATGTTTCTGTACTTGCATATTGTTATTTTAAGTTGTGAAGAAGCTTGCTTAGGAAGGTATTTTGACCTAAAAAATGCTTTCACTAAAACGTTCTTTCATTTTAGTGCACACCTAAATATGTTTTTGCATTTAATAGGGTCCGTTAGTTTACAAACTTCATCAGTTTTATTTTCTGTGCTTTTGAGTGATTGTTCTCCTATAAGTTGTTCATCCACAAATTGATTTTAACTTTTGCTTTTCTAAAGTAAATATTGAGCTCATCATTTCCAATACAAGTTTTCATTATAACATAATGTTTAGAATACTGAGTTTTGCAGTGATATCTTTAAAAAATGCCAAGTCAACAATCCACTCCATATCAGTCAATTTATGGTCATAATTATCTCTGGATGTGAAAAAATATTTGATCTCTGACAGCATTCCCAGATTTTCTTGATGAATAATGCAATGGTATGAATGAAATTTGGAAAACGTGTCATCATGCTTACAGGGAGCTCAATAAACCCAGTATTATTCCCATTCATAGCCGGTGCTCCATATTTTGCAATAGCGACAAGCTTTTTTTATTGGTTTGTTCTCTTCAGTAATACAGTCAAAAGTCGTTAATTCGGACACCCATAATCCGGAATGATCTATAATCCGGACCTCAAAGCTAAAAACTTTCTGCGCATGCGCCGCATTGGCACATGCGCACACGCGTTTTACGCGTGCGTGTAAGACCTTGACTACTGCGCATATGCGTGTGCGCAAGTGCAGAATACGTTTTCGCCTGCGCGTTTAATGTATAACGGACGGTGTAAGCTAAAATTATCTAATTATCTATTTCAGTTAATGTTAATGATTGCGTTGTTCCTTAATCTTCGAATTGGATCCCGCTTATTATTTTTTGCAGACTGTAAGAGCAATTTTATAAAAGTAAACTTGAACTTTCGATTATGTC